TGCTAAGTTTTGTATGATTGAAGTTGAGTGATTTGAGGCTTTGACTGAATGCAGATCTGATTTGTTAGTATACTGTCAGACCTCTTCTACTACGTGATTAAATTGTTTGGTTGATCTGTGTGTAGGCTAATCACCACAGGCAGATTGTCATTTTACAGTTGACATTGAACTTAGTAAGGACCATCAGCATACTTCTGTCTCTACCTGCCTACTGTAACAATTAAACCTATTCACTGACATAGAACACAGTTTGAAAGTTTTGAAGCTGATACCATTTAGCGATACATGTATGATCTACTGATATTCACCATGCCTTTAAAGGATGAGTAAGTGAGCGTATTTCAGATTTTTGAAAGATATTCAGTCCATTTTCTGTCTGCATATTGAACTTCTTGAAGATGTTATGGAAATAAGCAGTCTCCATTGTGGATTTACTTCAAATATTGTTCAAGTGAAACAACTTGGATGAGGGAGGATGCAAGTATCGACGTGGACATGCCTGCTGTTTGAAACCAGGCAGTGATATTGTGATAGATGTCTGTATCCTATTCATCATAGAAAAACATTGGAAATTATACCTTGGAATATATCAGAGAGCTAAGTCAACTGTAGGTGGAGACCATCTGAAATTGATGATTGCGAATCCTAATAAGACCTTCTGAAAGAATGAGTTGGAAACATGTTGAATTGTTAATTGCAAACCAGAGAAACCTTTCTGGAATTAAAGTGACTTAGACCTTGTGAAGAACAAACTTGAACCCCTGAGGATATCTGTCTGTGAAATTGCACAGTCTTGATTGTTATGTCTGCTCGTCATCTTGTTCTGATCATGTTGGAGATTGAGGTTGAGATCCTAGCTTACGTCCTAGCTTGGTGTTCCTGCGTTGCTTTCTTCTGGATCCAAAACAGTGTCTCTGAACCATCTCCTTCACCAGCCATCAACAGGGTAAATGAAAGCTCAACTATATTTTGTCTGTAAAGACCCATAAGGTATTTATTTGAAAATACTTAAATACATGTACAGCAGTTGACAAATCCTTTTCATTTATGCAGAACCGTTAATCCAAGAAGAGCACCAACTTAGTTATCCAATTTGTGTTCTGGCAATTGTAGTATAAAGGCGAGTGAAAAGTGAGCAGGCGCCGCCCAAATTTTAACTCCGCGCTAAAACTTCAGCGGCGACCGAGCGATGCCTGGGCAGAATTGGTTAAAAACTCGCCGCTCGGCCGCCGAGCAGACTACTTTTGGGTAATGTGACCATAGCATAAATGAAATATTTTATCACCACACACACGCATCCATACGTTTGAATACCTTTCCTTGACAAACGACTTGGCATAGTACGTCACGTTAGGCCTTTAAACAAAAAAGATGTTGTATTGCCCTTGAGGTGCCAGATTTCTCAGTTTTGAATGCTTTAATATTTTTTTTCTCAAAAAATAGATTTCAATATTTTGGGGTCGATTGCAAAGGGCAATACAACTTTTTTTTGAGGCCAGGCCTTATCAAGAAAATGGCATGTCTTGCTGAGAAACTACGTTGCTTGATGATGCCTCCCTCATACACTTTGGGGGAATCTTGTAGATTGATTGGAAAGAATACAATAAATCTCTCAGAATAACTACCGTATCAAGTTATTTCTTGGGGTGAGGTTTCCTTTAATGACACCTAGATCAGACTGATTTTGGAAGTTATCTGCTCCAGAAAGGATAAATTCATTTTCTGTTAAAACACATTCAAGTCAAGTAAATGTATAAATGCAGATACATGTAAATCAAAACAATGACAAATATAATGTGTTCATTTTGAGACTCAATAATGAATTAAGAAAAATCAAGAAATGCCTGTATTGGCTTTGTATTCTAAATTTGCAGTGTTCAGATTTTGAATGATATAAATTTGATTTCAGTTAAGAATTGAAGTATTCAACACAAAATCTAGTATAACCTTAATGACATATTGTTCAAATAAATTTGTTTCCTCATTTCAGTGCTGATAATTGTGTCCATTGTTAAAAAAAACAGAAGGGAAGCATGACAAACACCTTGCAAGAAAAACAGGGATGTTTGATAGCCGCAAAGGTGTATTATACAAGTGTTTCCTGGTACATATCATTCCCTGAAGCAAAGATTCTTCATCTATGTCATATTATCCAAACATGAGGATAATCTCTCCATCACCCCTCAACTCTTGTTTGTTTTTGATGATGGTACATGCTTCCTAAACAGCTCTAAGGCCTGTATTGAGTAGCATCACATGAAGTATGGGTTCATGCAGATGAACTTCCTTCCAGTACTAGGTCTCAGTACACAATTATGTTTGTGTGAAAGAGCACAGGACTTGCTTTTGCAGTTGCATATTTTTGTTGCTGTTTGTTAGTTTTTGTTGTTGTTATACTTTATGCCCCACTTGAGTAACACCCTGTGCTAAATTGTAATTGTCAAGGGTTCTAGATTATTCTGCAAAATTTTTACAAAATGTCCACAACATACAATATTCCATTCTTGTATACAAGTGATTATAGGCTTCTTATGTATGATATTGATTATTATAAAGCTATCATAATGCACAATGTTAATAACCTATGCATAATGTTTGTGCCAATTGGAACACGTGGAACACAAATGTCAACAGAAATTAAAAAATTGAAGTTTACTTTATGAAAGAAATCTAAGATCCCCAACAGCAATGCCAGATGGATCAAAAATATATTTCACAGACCAATTTTTACTCTTGCATTTAATAGAAAACACTCTGTTCCTTTCCTTAATTATTAACAATGAAAGAAAATTGAGTCTCATGGAAAGTAGATTTTATTTCAATTCACCATACAATTTGAAAGATGGATCAAAAATATTTTTGTACTAACTATGTTAACTTTTTTCAGCGGGCGGGGGAGTGGATAATACTATTCAACGCCCAGTGATAAACAAGGAAAGGAAGTGGAGTTTTATAGAAAGCAGTGTGTGGCAAACGAGTTTGTTGTTGGTAGATTTATTTGGATCCTGAAGCATGCATAATATCACACCCTTCCATCAACCCATCCCTCCTCCTCCTCCTCCTCCTCCTCCTCCTCCTCTCCTCCCCTCCTCCTCCTCCTCCTCCTCCTCCTCCTCCTCCTCCTCCTCCTCCTCCTCCTCCTCCTCCTCCTCCCCCTCCTCCTCCTCCTCCTCCTCCTCCTCCTCCTCCTCCTCCTCCTCCTCCTCCTCCTCCTCCTCCTCCTCCTCCTCCTCCTCCTCCTCCTCCCCTCCTCCTCCTCCTCCTCCTCTTCCTCCTCCTCCTCCTCCTCCTCCTCCTCCTCCTCCTCCTCCTCCTCCTCCTCCTCCTCCTCCTCCTCCTCCTCCTCCTCCTCCTCCTCCCCCTCCTCCTCCTCCTCCTCCTCCTCCTCCTCCTCCTCCTCCTCCTCCCCCTCCTCCTCCTCCTCCTCCTCCTTCTCCTCCTCCTCCTCCTCCTCCTCCTCCTCCTCCTCCTCCTCCTTCTCCTCCTCCTCCTCCCTTCCCTCCTAGCTGTCGCTGGTCTCCTCATCTCTATGGACGTGTTTGATGACACTGATTGAACATACATCTCAATCATCCCCAGGGCTGGGTTTTAAAAAGAGATGACATAGAGTCATTGCTCAAAGAGCGTTAAGGGATCTAGTGGATTTAATCATGAAATCATTTCCTTATTTCATCTTCATCTTCAACTCTGTTTGTGTCTTCTACAGTCTCTATTTATCATAATTGGAAAGCTATTAAGTCATTGAATTTAGGACGTTCTGAGAGCCAGTAGGATTAACTGTATGTAATGTATATGAGTTGTTGCCCTCCTGACTCTTGGTAAACGATAGTCTGTTGAGAGCCAGAAGGCATTAACTGAATGTAATGTATATGAGTGGTATATGAGTTAAAGCTGCTCTCCAAGCCTGCCTTGTCTCTCTAGGTGTAAAACCCATATCATGAAACCACCTCTGCGTTGACTGTGCCACAAACCCCCTGCAGCAACTAACTTCAAATGGAAAGTAAGATACCTTTCCTCCTAGCTCCCAGGAGCTCACCCAGGATCACCTCCTTGATGGATGGGGTCAGTCCAAACAACAATATTAGGGTGCAAGTTTGTGAGACATGTTGCAGGAAGCTACCCTTCCCATCCAAATCACCCTTGACCTGCCAGTTCTGCAGGCCTGATAAAAACCCAATTTAAATCGGTTTCCCGTTTTTTAATTTTTCCCGATTTTTTCTCTTCCCGATTTTGTTTTTTCAATAATTTTTTTTTTTTACCCGATTTGGTTTTTTTTTTATTCCTGATTTTATCCCAATTTTCCAGATTTTTCCCTTATTTTCCCAATTTTTCCCTTATTTTCCCAATTTTTCCCTTATTTTCCCAATTTTTCCCTTATTTTCTCTATTCTTCCCTATTTTTCCCTATTATTTCCCAATTTTTCTTACTCAAAGGGGGGGGGGGGGGAATGTTGTAAGATGCCATTTTTTCCTTGAATCCTTTTTTTTTTTTTTTTTACTCAAGGGGGGTGTGGTTTAGGGAAAAAAAAATAGTGCTCACTATCACCCCTGGTTCTGCGCTGAGGACAAGCAGCTAGAGTCAGGGGTCCTTTCTTTACCTGTTGGTTTGTCCCCCTCCTTCACAAGAACTATATGGAGCCATCACTGGGGGCACCACTAGTAGAATTGTGGCACAACATTCTCTTCTCGACAGCTTCTACTTGTACAGTCAAACCTGCCTATAGCAACCGCCCAAGGGAAACACAAAAAGTGCCCTTTGTAGACAGGTGGTCACTGAAGCAGGTTGACTGTAATAACACAAAATTTCTTCCCTTCTAACAAAAATGTCAGTATTGCACTTTGCATATATTTATTGATGCTGAATACTTCATTTATTTCCTGAACTAAATAATTTATACAGCATCCAAGTTTCTACCAACCCTGCTTCACACATGAAATAATACAGCATTTGATTTTAAACCTTTTTCCACATTTCTATCCCTTACTCGTGATTCCATGCAGGCAATACAAGGCCAGATTGAAGAGAAAAGACAAGAGATCCAGAAACTGAACCAGAATGCCCAGCAGCTAAACACAGATGGCGCCAGACAGGTTGCAGAGCCTGTGATGCTGCGAATGAACACCCAGTGGAGAGAAATTGAGCAACGATTCGCCCAGTTCAGGAAGCCAGTGAGGGAGGAGGTATTCGTAGAACGGACAATAACAGAAGTAAAGACAAGTTTCAAGTAAGCACACATTTTTTTCTTGAATTTTGTTATGCCTCCGTCCGCCCACTGAAGGTGGTGCCGGAGGCATTATATTTTCGGGCCGTCCTTCCGTCAGTCTCGCTTTCTCGTTCAGGCGATATTTGAAGAACCACCAAAGTTACGAACTTCAAACTTGATGAACTTCAAATTTGATGATAGTATTCATCAATGTAAAGGAAGACAATCTGATTAGATTTTGGAGTAACTGGGGGCGCGTTCATGCTTGATTTTGACGGCCAGAATCAGGCATCTGTTACGCGTTTAGTTTAAAACACGATTGCGTTCATGCTCACTTTTGTAGAATCACCGAAAAACGGCGATCACGATCGCTGATCGTAAACTCACAAAAAGATGCGTTTACAATTTGTAAATGCGTCTAAATGGGGTCAACGCACTGACCTCTAGTGGGTCTACGTAGCATGCGCACACAGGTTTGCGAATCCAGCTGAAGGCCACCCAAGGAGAATTGCCTGGAGAAGTGAGCATGAACAGTGCACCGTGGAACTGCGATTACGATGAGCGTTTACGATGAGCGTTACAAATCGCTCATTCTGCCTTCAAAATCAAGCATGAACGCGCCCTAAGTCAAACGTCAAATGTCACAGAACTTCTGAAAGCCAAACTATTAGCCTTGTTATCGCGATATCTCAAAATGAGGCTCAAACTTGGTGATAGCATGTTTCAACATAGGAAGAGGATCTGATAAGATTTTGGATACTTATGTCACAGGTCAAAGGTCACAGAGATCCCTTTCTGAAATTACAGGTTTAAATCTTGCTATTGTGATATATCTCAAGAACCACTATAGATATGGAGTTCAAAATTAGTGATAGTATGTATCATCATTGGAAGACAATCTGAAGTAGGTCAATGATCAAAGGTCGCAGATGTCAATTTCTGAAATTAAAGGTTTTTAGCAATATCTAAACATGGGGACATAGGAAGATGATCCAATATCGTGTTGAGGCTGGTAGGTCAAGATCATAGTCGTCAGTTGACATTTGATTATAGACTTTTTGTTTTCATTGAGATATGTCATGAATGATTTCAACCATTTCCTATACTGAATTTTGGACAGAGGCATATCCATGTAGGAGAAGCAGTTGCATTTGTCTTGTTTTTCTATTATTTGAATTTGAATTTGAATTTGAATTTGAATTTATTAACAACAACACATCACAATAATGACAGTACATATGAACAATCATATAATGCAAAGAATAATACTGATACATGTATACATAACACAAGAGTAATGTCGATTGAACAGTAATGATTTTAAAACGATATTTTTTAGACATACATCTGCATACTATTAAATGTACAAAAGATAGATATCTGTTAGCATCTGGCAATTACGAAATAGATATGTTAGGAAAGCGAGATGAAGTAGATATGTATGTTCCTGACTGAATATTTGATGTACGAGTGGGCTTGACTTACCTATGAGCTCCTTCCACGTACTGTATGATAGGAGATTGGGTGAGGGACTTCCCTAGCCGTTGCCAGGTAACAAAGGTTCTACAATTTTGTTCAGCTACCAGGGGCAATTCATTATGAAATACATAGGTGAGTACAGCTCACATGTAGATACAATTTTCAGTCACGAACATACATTTTGGTAGTCTCTGTGTTAAACTTCAGTCATTGATAACTTTAGGGGCTTAAGCATGAGTCTCTCATGTAATTGTTCAAACATTGAACATAAATATCAACAGGATCTTGCAATTTTAGCGGGGTGAAACGAAGGGAAATTGGATGGGTTTTAAGTGTTGCTCCCAGAGGATAGAAAGATGAAAATAAGAATATGTCTTGAGGCTGAAATTGTACTTACCTCTTTTTATTTTTACTCCATATATAGCGCTAGGGACTAGTAGAGATGATTTGCACAGAGCTGATGAAATTAGGAGAGAAATTGGGAATTCTCTAATGAAATAATGGAGCAAAGCAAAGGAGATTTTTTACTAATATGATTGTTTTTTGTAAAGTAGACTAAAAATTTGATGCATTTGATGCATTTTGCCAGATGGTTTGCTGCATTTGTTTATTTTGGATCATTTTCTGTTTTGTTTGTTTGACCTTTGAATGAAAATGGATGGAAAGATAGACATAAAAATCAAATACTGAATACTGAATAATATAATATGCAGGTGCATGTATCTACTCTATCATGCTTTACTTTACCTATCTATTTCACAATTGCAATTATAATGCCAACTTTAAATATCAATTAATAATAAATACTAAAATATCAA